GCTCTTAATTCAATAACCAAGGTTACTGAATATACTGCATTCTATAGCTTTTCAGCCCTGAGTGCTTCTGCATGCCTACATACACTACCTGTATCTGTAGTAGGAAACCAGCATTCTTTCTCTGACCTCTCCTTCAATCTTCTGGTCAATGACCAGTAGCATGACTCCATATAAATACAGCGCTTCACACTGTTTGGAAAGAGAAACAATTAAGAAAGAAAATAACATAAACCCAATTCTGTAGCAACATTTAAAGAAAACCACGTATTGGCAACCTAGACCAATGTCAGCTATGCATTCAATTCAGCATGTAAAATGATACACTGAGGATTTTTGGTCTTTGTCCTCCTTGAAGTGAGTCACAGCATTTCCATGCATTTGGTAAAATTAAACCTTTGTCTAGTTTGGCACTAAATACTTACTAGCAGCTGTTTTCCATCTTCATTAAGGAGGACCGTTTCTAACGTTTGCTGAATGTAAATTCCTTCATTGAGGTCATCCAAGTATCTAGGAATCATGACAAAAAGTTGGTCATTGACTACTGTGCTCTCAAACCCTACATCCTCAGAACTCAATTGGTCAATTTTCTCTAAAAGTCAACAGATGCATCAGAACATTTCCCTAGCACAAGCAGTGGGGAGTTTTTCAGACAAAGAAGAGATGCTCTATTATAAAATGAGGGACTGGAACTCCTAGCTAGTGTCAATCAGTTGGCAAGAGTCTCCATTCATATCCTGGTGGTGTATGGGAAGGACATAGATACTAGAAGATACTTGGTAACTTATAGCTCATCCTCTTAATCCTGCTATAAATGGATAATAGCCTGAGAAGGCTTCCATGTGAAAATTTAGTAGCACTGTCATATTTTCAAGTTACCTCAAAAATACCTCCTGGAAATACCATAAATTGATCTCAATTGCAGTTTGGAAGGCAGAGCTAGAAATAGAGTATGTTCACCTTAATTTTCTAGTAATACTACTTATTAGTAAGCAATATTAAATATTTAATATTTCCATACAAGATCAATAACAAAAGTAATTATCATGCTTGAGATTCTCAGGAACTTTTTCTTAGAGCATTTAATGAACCTTTCATTTTGTTTTTTACAGGTCAGAGTAGGAGACTTGAGAATTTGGCAACTCCACTGAAAATTTAAGTTTGGGAAAATAATGCAAATAAAGGTAAAGAAAAAAAACCCCATACCTGATATTCTGTTTTGCAAGAGCATAAAAAACTTTGCTTAATGACAGGGAGCCTTCTTTTACTAAAAAAAAAATCTTAAGGACAATCTCCAAGATAAAGAAGAAAAACTAGCTCAAGCTTACAATTGGGGAAATGAGGTGGAGAGATTAAATGTTTTCAAGTCATATTTTAAGCTGGTAGGGAACAGTAGGAGTAAAAGTCAATGTTCACTACAGTTATCCAGGTCATCCATATGTATTTCAGACACCATACCTGCTTAAATCTACGATATATTTATGTACACTCTGGAAAGCTAGATAAAATCTTGTCAAAATTTCAATGTTGTTTTCACGAAATTCTTCATCTAAATCCAGTAACTCAGGCTTGGCTTCCAATTTCCCTTCACATGCCTCAGGCCCCTAAGAAAAGAAATTCATCTTTAGAGACAGTATTTGACTTTGACCTCTACTTGACTTCTCTTCAGTAGGTCACAGACCACGTTTGGACACCACTGTGTGCAAACTAGAGTTGACATTCCTTGCTGAAACAAGGATCTGCAGTTTTCCAAGCTACTTTATGATTGAATATTGATTCTATAAAGATGAATTTTACACTTTGTTACAATCTGCAATGATTTAAAATATGATTTATCCTATGTAACCAGTGGAAAAGAACAGTCAATGCTTTTGGTAAAGTCCTAATGCATCTGAAACCACTGGGTGCTTTTTGTTGTGCTAACTATCTCCTGGATGGAATTTTTTTCTTTAAACATTTGCTCTGATTGATTTCTCAGATAGAAACCATTACAGTGAGGGCTCACAAAGCTTTGTACCTTCTGATACATTCAAATTGCTTAAAAGTATTAGACCTGTTTTACAGACTCTGGGTCTAGATCAGCACTTGTCCCTCATATTAATGCATAAACTGTCATTTACAACTGTGGGGGGGAAAGGGTTAGGATGAACAGTCTGACTTCCTTAAAGCAGTAATACAACTTTTCTAAGTTTTTACCACTGCCAAATTTCTCATAACCACTATTTGGTCTTGCCATCCCCATCTAAATGAAAATACTGTTAATGTTTAATTGAAAATATTATTAACATTTAATTGAAAATACCCAGCTGACAATTTCTTGAGCTTTAAAGAATGATTTTCTGCTTCTCTTTTTGTGCAAAATACCTATAAAAACCAAAGGATAAAAGCAGACCTCAAAAGGTAATTCTAAGAATCATTAATACAGAAGTGGTTCATTCACAGTAAAAATACCTGTAAATTCACTAATTTCAGCTTTATAAATAAGACTTCTCTGGATTTTTGGGATTATAACTGAAAAACAGCACACTGTTATGCTTCCTTAACATTCAAAAATACTACAGTTTTAAGGATTATTGTATTTCTTACCAATTATAGCTATCTGAAGTTTTCAAGTAATTTGTGCAAAGAAAAAAAAGACTTCTAACAAGCACTTCTATCTAAAGGTAGTTGTGAAATCATTTGTGCTCAGGACTTTCAGTATCCAAGGCTTGAAATTTACAACTCTTACTAAAATAAAACAGAATAAAATTTTACAAGCCTCCCCCTCCCCGCTTTACTACTAACATTTCTTGTACTATACAATCCAAATAAAGTCAGATTAGATAGTCCTGTAGTTCCCTCTTAAGCATGTTGGAAAACAACAGGGGGAACTTAGTCCTGCAAGAAGCTTATTTTGAAAAGGAAATACGGGCTTTTCATGGATACTACTTGATTTATTTATTCAGCACACGTGACAAGTCCAGCGAATGAACAATCACAGCACTGTCAGACAGGAAAGCAGAACTCAGTTTTCGTGGCTGCAAAGAAAAGGCTACAGATAACTCAAGAACGATGGGCATACTGCCCACAGTACTGCTCTGAAGGAAAACAACCAACTGCACAGGCTCAAAACCTGCTGGTGAAAAGTATAATGCACTAGTTCTGCAGGAAGAAATAACAACAACAACAACAGCAACCACCCCCACCCCAGAATCCAATACTCACATTTTGTATAATTGGTATCTATCAAAGGTCACAGGGCAAATAACTCATCAAACATTTTGGGACTGCTCTTTGATGCACCTAGAACTGCCACCCCCTTCCTGCCCTGATACTCTCAGTGCAGATATTACACTTCTGTGCTGCTGAGGGCTCTGGGCACAGAACCTTTCCTCGACTGTTTCCACTTGCTGAAATCAATAAGATGAGGCTGAGTATGATCAAATGTATATAAAACACTAGTCAGCCCAGAAGCAGAACATTAGCATGTAAACATCTTGCTACCTCAATCTGGTTAATTTTTGGTAAAAACTAATCAAGTCATGATGGTCGATTCTGAAGAATGCTAGTAATAAACACAACAGTCAGGAATGGATGTTTCATAACCTGAAGCATCCTCATGTGGGACAGCAATGCTTTTAAAGTTTAACATGAAAGGACTTACCTTAAAATAACTGAAATCAAATATGATATCCCCATACTTCTGTTGATCAGCCTTATCCTTTAGCCTGAAAACACCAGGAATAAATTCGGACAGTCTCAGAAGTTCTGCAATGATGGCATTTCCACAGGAGACAATCCGAAGAATTGCCTGACCACACAGATTGTTTTCAGCCAGAAAATCCACCATTGTGGAGCTGAATGCAACAGAGTAGCAGGTCCTGCAGTCCCAGTTGGATCCTAAGTCTTTAGGTTATTTGAAGCAAAAAGCCTGATGAAGAAACTAGTTGCGCCATGAATAACCTGTAAAAACAAACCCAGACGCGTTCAGAGTGCTTTATGTTTGTTTTTGATAGTTTGTGTATTTTTAAGAATACTCTCCTACCTTTCAATTTATGAAATCTAAATTATCACAGCTTTGTAAAATGAGAAAAAAAAATGCACTGACTTCAGCATGTACACTGTGTTTGACACAATGACCTGTGTGGCCAGGCAAGGGAAGCGTGACTTTTTGTACCAGGAAAGTTGAAGAGCACTACTGAGGAATGAGACGGTCACAAATCCCAAAGCAGTCGTGACCACGACTGGGAGATGAGAGCAAGGAAAGCAAAAACACCTCACAACATGCATTTTTAAGAGTGACTTTAAAAATACAAACAAAGTGACTGCAATGGGCTTCAGCAACAAGGAAAACTTTCATAGCACATAGAAATGACACGGCTCTGTTCTATTTACTTATTGCTGAAGGACTCGCTTCCATGCTGTGGTTGCATTTCCTGGTCACAGTTTTATTCCTTGACATGCTTCCTGCGGGATGGGGCGCGCACTACTGCTAAAAGTAAGAGCCTGTATTTCAGAAACATCTATGCGAAGTTATTGAGATGGCTTGACTTTTCACCAAAAACCTTCCGAACCACTGCGACAAATTCAAGATGACAGCGAGCTGTCCCAAAAATGTTCTGGCCCAGCCGGGCGCCCGGAGCTCCCCCCGGTCCCCAACGCCGCCCCCGCAGAGCGCACCGCGGGGACCGGACCCGCAGCGCCCGGACGGGCTCCGAACCCACCCCACCCCACCCCACCCCACCCCATCCCATCCCATCCCATCCCATCCCGCTCCGGCGCCGCCGGACTCACGGTTTTCCCACAGCCTCCCCTCGCTGCCCCAGCCCGGCGCGCTCACCCTGCCCCGGCAGCGCGGGGGGACGGCGGCGGACAGGGAGGGAGGTGAGGGCGGCTGGAGGGATGCAGGGAGGCGGCAGGCAGGGAAGGAGAGATGGAGGGAGGGAGGCGGCGGCGCTCCGTGCGACGCGGCCGAGCACTCCCGTCACATGACGGCGCCGGCTGATGAGGCCATTCCGCCTGCCCCGGTGCCCGGCGGGGCCGCCAGCGCCGTGAGGGGCCGCCCGGGACAGCAGCACCTTCGGGCCGCCACGGCTGGCACCAGGTGAGCTGCGGCCGCTGTCGAGGGCGGCCGCCCCGCCGGCCCCTTCCCATCCCCTGGCGTGACTGCCCATGGACGGGGTGAGGCAGGGACAGGGCTGGGACGGCGGAGCTTCCCGCCCGGCGGGCGCTGCTCCCGACCCCCGTGTCGGGGAAGCATCATCTCCCCATGGCAGCGGGTCACCGAGTGTGTCCGGGGGTGCACACTGACCCTGGCGCTCGGTGGGCACTTGTCACCTGTAGAACTGGTGTTACAGAAGTAACTATTTTTTTTTTTTTTTTTTTTAATCTCTTGGGAAGTTGAAGAAGCGTAGAGAGTTTAGGTCATTTGCTCGAATATTTAAGGGACAAAATAGACACTGTAAGTTTTTTTTGCTTTATCTTGTCTGGACCATTCGGTCACTTGTTGAAAGAAGAAAAAGTGGCCTTGGTAGTATCACTTGGGTTCCTTTTCAGCGCTGGTTGTATTTTTCAGAAATGAGGGGTCTGGGGGTTGCAAATTATGAGTGCTTCATTGATGCACCCATTGAAGACCTTCATGGCAAAAAAAGAGTGCCTTAAAAACTCTGCTGTGGAACCCTTTCAAGTGAGGAACTTGGCCTTTCCTCGGGAGGCAGATTGTAGAGCTGCAAGCTGAAGCTGAGGAGTTCATTTAGAAAATCCAAGAGTGAAATCTTTGATGTAGGAGGGTGGAGGAACCGCTGACTGGCTCAAAACAACCAGGTTGGGAAGTGGTGGGGGAACGGGACTGGCCTGCTGTAAGCCCCAAAATAGCAGACTGGGGCAGGCAAAAGGACCGTGACACTGTGCCAAACGTGGTCCACTACCCTGGCTTTAGAACCTGCTGAGACCATACTGGATCCTTGGGTGGTGACTATCTACCTTCCTCTCTCCCTTTTCTTTCTCTCACTTTCTTCTACCTTCTTCTCAAAATACATCATAAGCCAGACCACAACATGCCAGTAAGTGCTTTGCTTTGTCTAGATAAGTTAAAATTTGCTAATTTAAAGTTTGCAAAGTGCCTTACTTTGTCTGGATGTTTTCAAATTTGCCAAGTACCTTACTGTACTCAAATGTTCTAAAGTTTACAAGTAAAAGTTGTTATTGAATCCTCTGAGAAATTGGTTGCTTCTCCCGCACACTGCCCAGGGCAAATCCAACTGCCTTCCCCTAAACTCATTGAGTGGGCTGGGGCATTGCAGGATCCTAAACAGTTTCTAAGAAAAATAATAATTTATTAAAAAAAAAAAAAAAAAAGGGAAAATTCATCCAAAAGAGATTACTTCCAAATGACAAATTGAGATGAAACTACCAATGCAATGGCATGATTTAATATTGTGACCAGTAACTTCTGCTTCTGTGTAGTTTACTCAGTGCTTCCACAAATGTCAAAAGAATGACGGAGTCTTTTAACTTCACTGTTGTTTGTTTTTTTTTTTCTTTTTTTCAGATTCCTACTTTCACAGTGTGTATCTGTGAAATTTCCAAAAGAACAGCAGGGTTTCCTCAGTGAGATTTACCAAATTCAGGAAGGGAATTGTTAACTGTTGACTTTGATACACTGAATGGGTCCAGTAAGATAAAGCTGCTCACACGATTTTATGTGACTATTTAATAGTGTATGTTTGGATCACAGAGGTTCTACACAAACAGTCTTGCTAAGATGGCAAACAGGTACTTAAAAAAAACCAAAAAACACGTACCAGGTAAAGGAATTGGTTATTAAATCTTTAAAAGCATCCTTTTCCTGTACTTTCAAGAGGTTCTATAAGGAACTTTTTCCTTGTCTTCTCTTCTCAGTTTGACAGATATGAAGATGTCTAATGATAGCTATTGCTGTCTTTTGGCAGGGAGACCATGAGCTGACATAACTAGAGCTATTGTTGAAGCTTGCTCCCTCCTCTGTGGCAAGATGCACCTTTAGAAGGGAATAGAGAGGAAGGTAATTTATATGTAATGAAACAGTTCAAGCTGTGGTGAAGTTGGACTGTTGTTAAAATGTTGCTGGAAGCACATGACCTAAAGATGGTGTACTGAGAGATACTATTGACTGACCAAGCACATTTTATAAATGGAAAAAAAGGACAAGAAATAGACATTAGAAGAAAAGAGAGCGTGACAGCAGGTATTCAGGTCTCATAGTCTGTATGGTATTTGTGAGGAATGTGGCAGTAGAGGGAGATACAGCTTAAGGTATGCAAATCTTGGGCAAAGCATTGTACTTTCTATTTAGATATCTTCCAGATTACTGTTGGATTACAGCCTGTCAAAGGCTGCTGTTGATGGAACAACTCCTTCCCTTGTTACTTTGTGTACTGTTCAGATAAAACATCTGGTATACCCCAAATTTGGTTGTGGATTCTGCTCTCTATTTCATCCATCATCATCTCAATGTAGTCATTGAACATATTAGTTATTCTTTATATGGATTAATGCACTATTTCTGTCTATCTAAGACTTTTTGTTGTGTTTTTCTTTGTTTTTCTGGTGTATCTAAAACTGAATCAGAATTTTTCTAATCTACATTTTGAAGTATAGAATTCTGCACACCAGGTTCATATTTCTCACAGTAGCTACATGTCTGAGTGAGTTATGGCAAAAGATGAAGAAGGAAGAGCAGAAGTTGGGATTTCTGAGAAGAAACCAACAGATGTGAGCAGTGTGGATAGGCACAGCATAAGCAAACCCACTTGAAGGTTGTATTAATGACACAGGAGGAGCAGTTAATCCCCTCAAGGCTGTAGGTTGTGGATGTGTACTGGAAAATCAGAGGGTGGTAAGGAAGATAAACATGATACCTGTGTGACTTTATTTTGTGCTGATGGAACATGGGTACTAAAAGTTTGTAGCATCTTTGGGGGAAGTAGACAGCATTTGTAAGATGAGCTTTTATTTAAAAAACATTGCTAGGTGTTTTACTATTAAGTGCATTCTCTGTAAAGTGGTCTTTTGTTTGATTATTTTTTCCAAGGGCCAGCTGCTGTTGAGGCTGAATTGAATGAGAGAAATCATATTTCTTTCTAGCCTAATTGATAATACACCTAGAAAACACAGACACATTTTTTGGGCAAGTTGGCTTCTTTGGACTTGGAATAGAACAGTAATTTTCAAGCAGACATAATCGTTGAGTTTGAACTTCGTTGTGGTTTAGCAATAGGAATGAGCAGATGAAAACTGCCAGTTGCTTTTTGTGGTGTAGTTTTGCTTAATATTGAATAGGAGGTGAATTGAAAATCTGTGGTGAATTGCAGTTTCACTGAAATTACTGACATCTTGGAAGCTAAGTTTTCATTCCTGCTCCCTGATGTTTCAGTGGTTCTGTTGACACTGCTTTATCGTTAGCTATATTTACAGTTTTCTCCCAAATTCTTTTCATTTTAAACTGTATTTAAAATGTTGTTCCTGTTATTTCTAGAAGAACAATTTCAAGATGTCAGGTGGTGCAAAAATCCCGTTCAACATAATTGATACTGCTCTTTCTTCATTGAAGAACTCCCAGTCCTTCATCAACTCTGGAATGGATATTGCTACTAAGACTGCCTTAGATCTTGTGGAAAGTTTCAGTAAGTATATTCTCTCTTCTATTATATCCTGAATCTAATAGATGAGTCGTAGAATCATCTGTTGTTTGACTATTTTGACTTAGTTACTGTCAATATTTATCTTCATTATAGGAGCTGTAGCTTCTCTGGCTAGGCCAGGCTGTTTTCATTCCAATCATTTCACTGTCTTAAATGATAAATTCAGTGAAAATGTTAATACCAAGAAAACATTGTCCCTGCTTTTGTAACACCAAAGACTAATTGTGTTCCAGTGGTTGTTACCCTACAGCTTTGTAGAGACTTTAATGTTGTTTAATGAGGTGGAGAAGGCCCCTTAAGTGGGTGAATAAAATGACTTTTCATTCTCATACTGCTTCTTTGCATTGTGTTTTATTTGATGTTTAGGGCAAGGTATATTAAAATAATGCTAAAATTTTTGAGAACAAAGCTTGAGACACCTGTTAGGGGATGCAGTTTTATTAAATGCTGTCTCTGCTGAAAATCAGGCCTTTTTGGAGTGCTTCAATTTGGGCATTTTGGAGGGTGTGCATTAAATCTGGAATCACTGCTAACAGTTTTGTCATTACTGTTTCACAGTAAAAGGGGCACTGCAAAGCTACTTTTCAAAGTAGCCAAACCTCGATATTTTAATTAAGAGTGGAGAGAGGAGAACAAGAATCCTCCGAAATGAAAGTTTTGCTGTTCATTATAAATCTTTCACTCAGCTAAGCCAAGGATTATATGCAATCAAGATGAATGTTTTTCTCTTTGTCTAGTGTGATAGTTCTCTCTCCTTTGACCTTTTTATCCATACTTTTGTCAGAGACGATTAACATGTCATTTCTAGTGGGTAGAGGAAATGGAAAGCTTGTGTGAACAATCAGCTGGGGATTCCCTCTGAGGTAAAACTCATGTAACCAGTTCTGTTTCCTCTCTACTTTAGCAGTCACCCTGTCTCCTACTTTACCATAAGCAGTACAAGGAAAAACATTGAATGTATTCAATTCTTTCCTCTGCAGAACCACAGAAATTATTTATACAAAAGGTAAAAGACGTGAGTGATTTCCCCTTTCGGTAGAAGCCCCTGTTGCATTTCTGTTGGGAGTCAGCTCCGCTGTGCAGGTCTGCATCTGAAGGTCTGTGCCTTGTACTCCTAGAAAATGCCTCTTCCTCACATACCTGCTTCTGAAACATTAATCTTTAATTACAACCTTGACAATATTTTGTCCATTTAATTCAGTAACCAAAAGGGCCATATTTAGCATTCTATTCTGAAAGGAGGAGATTATTCCTCATGAAATACCTATGGTCATTGTTACAGTTAAATTACATCATGTGACTGGAAAACAGCTCCTAGATCATAACACATTTTATTTTAGCAGAGGCAACTTTCCTGTGGAATCACAGTTATAGGATTATCAAGCACAACCTTTCAACATAGTCCATCCCAGGGAATGTATTCTAGACTTTGATTTGTAGGTTATACTTCTTTGATCTGGTGTTACAGAGTTAGGTTTTTACTTACAATAGTTGTTTTCTTCACTCTTACACTTTTCCTTGCAGACTTATGTACATGGAACAAACAAGTAGTGAAGGTCCTCACTTTTGTAAGGTTTGGTTTTCATTCCCCTGACTACTCCACTTGGACTTCAAGTTCTTGTGCTCTTTACAGAATGCCATCAGGAAAGATGCTGGGTTTCTGTGGTGTGACATGCTTTGGTGTTTTAGAATTAGCATCATCTCATCTGCTGGACGTTACAGTTCAGCTCTTACCCCCAGCTTGTATGTGGTGATTTTTGTTTCTAGAGCTGTTACTCATCCATCCTACTTTGCCTTCATGTTCTGAGGCAAAATACTAATTTGATTTTGAGAAAGAATTAGATAATATATTTCTGTGTTCTTGTTGCTGTCCCATTGGCAATTTGCTTTAATTCGGTTTGGAAATTTAACTGTCCAGCTTCTGACAGGTTTCATTGCCAGGCTTTGTAGAAGCAACAAATTCTGTTGTGACTGTTTCTTTTATCTTACAGGCACTTTTTCTGTGGATATGTTTTGTTCCTTTGGTCTTTCATACTGGATAATGCTGTTTTTCGGGAACAGTAATGAAATTTTTTGTAGCAAGTACATGAGAAAAATTACCTTTACATTATATAATTATGTATATACATTATAACTTTACATACATAAATAACAGAAAAGCAGGCAAAGTTAGTGTAGTGAGTGATCTTTGTTTCCCCTCTTTTATTCTTATTCTTTACAAGCCAAATCCTAAAAACATTTACTGTTAAATGTATTTATTAAACGTTTATTTTTTTCTAGTCCTGTATAGATTTATGAAAAGAAATTACTTGTGTTAAATATTCAGGTCAGACATTGCTCATTTATGAACTTATACAATCTTTAGAAAAATAAGTCAGTTTCTGTTAACTGCTATTAATTTAGGTGCAGAATAATTTTAATGCATCTGATCCTGAAAACCTTTTATTTTTTAAGTCATTTTGTTGATATCCATTAAGTTAAATTGTTGATTAAGACCTCCCTGTCCATTGAGACCCTGCTGACTTTTAGCATTGAGCATTGGTGGTGTGTTGTGAGCATCTGCTGGCAAAGAGACAAAATTTTAAAGATCCTGTAAGGGATTAAGGATCTGTATGTAGAGATGACAACAAATTTCACCAAACTGAGTATCAAAGGGAAAGATGTAATTTAAAAACTCATTTTATTTAATGATTTAAAAAGAAATTTAAGTCTTTTGCCCTTCTCAGTCTTTTTGCTGATTATCTTTAGATACTGACATTGTCTAAAGGTTGTATTTTTCTCTTTAAAGAACACCATTGTGGTACAGAAACATTTTAAAATGTTATAAAATATATAAAATATAAAAAGCCCATGTAAGCAGAAAATCTGACTGTGCACAGTTGGTTTCAGTATGTCCCACCTGTGCTCAAAACACCCTTGAATGTCCTGTGGCCCAACCTAACAATATACTGAAGGAAAGGATACACTGATATTCTTGGACCACCTTGAGTGGTCCACCAACATATGGAGGGTCTGTATATTTTAAAGCTTAAGCACATGTTTATATCCTTTGCTCAACTGGAGTCCTAATAGATTTGAGAATTTGAAGGTGACACTGTTCAAAATAATTTATAACACAAGTAAATGTTCTACTGTAATTTGCATCTTCCTAAATTTAGCCTCAATCTAGTTTTGAGCTTTAGTAGTGTGATTGAAAAAGGAATTCATTAAGTCACTTGTTCAGCAATGTCTCTCAACTGTAATGCTCTGAGTACTGAGCTTTAAGCCCTGTTTTGACACCTCTGCATTCGGAGGAGCAGCTGTTTGCATTGGTAATTTAACTTTTCTTGGTTGCTGAACTGTCTTTACTTAAACTACTCAAAGTAGTTCTGTAGAGTTAGAAAGCAGTGCTGGACATCCATGTCAAATACTGGAACAAAAAGTCTTTTTCTGTGTTTTTGGAATTAGTGAAACCTGCTATGTGTGTTGACTGATGTGCTGATAATGGTAAGAATGTGCTGGCCCAGGGTGGGTCTGGCATATCCATGACAGACATCTATTCCCAGCTTTGCTTAAAGTTTTTGGATGTGAATTTGGTCAACTTGCTGAGGATGGCAGTTCTATCTGACTTTTGGCGAGAAAACAGCAGAACTTTCTCAAGAATATGGGACTGTAAAGTACAGAGAGCTGTGGATAGAAGAATGAAGAAGGCTAACTCATGGTCATCCCTAGGCTTCCAGGCCAGCAGGTGTCCTTAGAGCTTTGTTGCTTTTGTCTGGGGTGGAGCCCAGGTTCTGTGGGACTAGGAGGATTGTCCAGTACAAATGGGAAATAATTAGAAGGTCTGGAGAGTATGCTAACTACAGACAAGATGATAAAAATTTCTTAGCATAAAACTTCTGAAAAGCGTTTTAAAGCATGGACAGATAATGGGTTTCCTACTAGAAGGCAAGGTGTTTCCTTGATGTCTGGGACTATTCTAACCACACATCCCATGCCCACAGTGAAGTGTGGAGGCCCTGAAGTGTAGAATAGCTGTGTGGGAAGCAGTTACTGCAACTGAACTCTAATCTTATTAGGGCGAAAAAAAATAGCTACTTTTCTTTTTCTTCAAAAACTTGCCCTAAGATGTCATGGTCATCTGCTACCCATGGCTGTTTACCATCTGTATTACATGGCAGTGATCTTCCCGTAGCACTATCAGGGTCTGTGTGAGAATTCCTCTTTGTTTCCATGCTTTGAAGGATTTTTCTGCTCACCCTGTATGTACAGAACAGACTCATGAGTCTTAATAATGTTAGTGATAGGATTCTTTGGCATGTGCCCCAGATTAACTTAGAGTTACAGCTCTGCCTTTTCCTCATCTACTTATTGCATAATGTCCTCCCTCTGACAGCAGAGTTTACCTCAATTCCAGCTGCTTATCCCATTTGTCTGTTCCCCTTGTCCCAGAGCTGTCTCTGTGCTTTTCTTCATGTGTGCTGCACTGCATCTCACATGTGCAATGTCCTCCTTTTTCTGACTTTCTCATCTCCAGATTGGTTGGGGTCCACTTGTGTCATCATGCCTGTTCAATATGAGCTAAACAGTAGTTGGTAATCACAGAATCAGAAAATATACTAAGTTGGAAGGGACCTACAAGGATCATTGAGTCCAGCTCCTGATCCTGCGCAGGACCATTGCCAAGAGTCACATCATGTACCTGAGAGTATCATCCAAACACTTCTTGAACTCTGTCAGGCTTGGTGCTGGGACCACTTTCCTGGGGATCCTGTTCCAGTACCCAGCCACCCTCTGAGGGAAGAACCTTTTCCTAATATCCAACCTAAACCTCCCCTAACACAGCTTCAGGCCATTCCCTTGGGTCCTGTCACTGGTCACCACAGAGATCAGTGCCCTTCTCTTCTTCCCTCATGAGTAAGTTGTCGACTGCAATGAGGTCTCCCCTCAGCCTCCTCCTCTCCAGGCTGAACAGACCAAGTACCCTCAGCCGCTCCTCACAC